CCTAGCAAACGGGATTCAAAGTGTAATTTTCTCGATGTCGTCTTTGCGGTTATCGCCCAATCTGCCTAAAACTAAAATCATGCTCTTTCCCTCTCAGCCCGATGTTCCGCCCCTCCTCCATGCCCCTTTCCCCAGCCTATAGACATAGTCTCCAGCCATAAGCATCTGGCATTTTAATTGACTCTAATCTTTCATGGGAGCCCCACATCGATTACAAAAATCAAGCCAGAGCACCTTGCCAAGGACTGCCCTGAGGCCCGCAGTACCACTGCCAGTACCGGTAGTACACAGCAGTCACGGCATTCAATGTCACCTACATGTACAGACACTGAACGCACACGTCGACTCCTGTCTGATGTGGTCGCAAACCCAGCCCAGATAGAGCAGCAAAGTAAAGCCCAATCACAATGCCCAACATCCAAGTCTAAGCAGGCTAATCTCCTAGCAGCTGACAAGAGCGACTCCAGCTCCTCTGAGTCTGAAGAGTTGCCTCTTTCTGCTGATACTGTATCATTGGTCGCCAACGAAAGCTTATCCAAGCCAGAAAACCAGCAGCTGTCTAACTTGCCCTGCGACTCCGACAGGGAGGCCAAGAAGGCAGACAGCGATGCATTTACAGCCCTAGGCCCACAGCTGGGAGGCCATAGCGACGATGATCCTGATTCTGGCGGGTGGGAAGTCAACCGATCCAAACGTTCACGCCATAGCGTCACACCTGATCGGGACCAGAGTGCCACCACCACTGGATCCAAGCAACGGAAAAAACGGAAACGAAAATCTCCTGAGAGTGGCCAACAAGTCCTGCAGTAAGTCACTTCAGAAACTTACCGCTTTGATACACATTTACCTTTCATTTTTACACCCATGCCTAGTTCTGTCATTCATCACAATACCGTTAAATGTTCACTCAGACTCCTTTGCACCAATGCATTTAGCTTAGGAAAAAAGCTAGCTGAGTTCCAGCACACACTGCACCAGCATAATCCCGACATAGCAGTTGTGACGGAAACAAAGTTTTCCTCTGAAACCGTTCCACCATCCGACTCCACATTCCCTGGCTACACCACCTTCCGGCTGGATCGAACAGCACGCGGTGGCGGAGTGGCGGTATGGATCAGATCTACACTCCCAGCCATGGTAATTGATGAGTTATTTTCTCCACATCACGAACTCATTTGGCTATCCATTCAATTGTCCCCTGGACAAAAAATAGTCTTGGGCGCTGCTTACAGGCCAGGTTCTACGGGGCCCAGTGACCTTACGCTCATTAACCATCTCGATGACATCCTTCCCTCTGCTCGTGCACTTGGTGCCAATCTCATACTCGCCGGTGATTTTAACGTGCATAACCGCAATTGGCTCCATAGCTCGAAGACCACACCTGCGGGGGAAGCCCTCGAAGACACATGCACAGCCCACTTTCTCACGCAGCACGTTCAGAGTCCTACTCGCGGGGATAACACACTCGACCTGGTGATGTCCACATTCAACTCTCCAGTGACCACGCAGATAATGTCCCCTATTGGTCGATCTGACCACGCTGTAATTCTTTCGGACTTCACAGGTGTTCTTCCTACCCATGAAGCGGCGGTGCAACGAACTGTCTGGCGCTATGAAAAGGCAGACTGGAACCGCCTCTGATCCTTTTTCCGCCAGGTTGATAGGTCAACTGTCATTACCGCCAACCCAGAAAATTCGTGTGAGCACGTTACTGCCACAATCATGAAAGCCGTTTCCCAGTTCGTTCCGTCCAAGACACTGACAGTGAAGTCAACGGATCCGAAATGGTGGACACCTGAGTGTGCAGCCGCCATGAAGGAGAAGGACAAACGCTGGCGCACTTGGAGGAAGCACCCTCACGATTTTGCACTGAAACATGAGTTTACCCGTTCTGTAAACAATGCTATCGCAGTCCTCGCTAGATCTAGAGTTTCCAAAGAGAACAGCCTCAGACATAGCTTGTCGAATGGGTCCCTGAAGGAGAAGGAATGGTGGACGAAGCTAAAGTGTGCTTGTGGCGAGGGTCGGAACACTGACATTCCCCTGCTCGTTGATAGTGAAGGTTGCGAGAGGGCTACAAGCTATGAGAAAGCGGAGGCTTTCGCACGTTTCTTTTCCCACAAGTGCAGTGTGCAAGGCCGCGACCTTACCACGATGGACTTACCGGACACGGCATTCGCTGACGCACCTGCACTAACGACAGTCCACTTTCGCGCGGATGCAGTCCACCGGCTTTTAGCTCGCCCGGATGCCTCAAAGGCGACTGGACCCGACGGTATTTCCGCTCGTGTCTTGAAGGAATGCGCCAGAGAACTTGCCAGGCCACTGTGTCAGCTCTTTGCTCTTTGCTTCCAGCACGGAGTCCAGCCACAAATGTGGAAGACTGCCAGCGTGGTTCCAATCCACAAGCGATCTTCACGATCCGCCCTAAGGAATTATCGTCCAGTTTCACTGCTGAGCATAATCTCTAAGATCATGGAGAGCGTTATCAATCGTCAGCTCATGAATCACCTTGAGAGTTACAAACTCCTAACACCCCACCAGTTCGGGTTTCGTCGCCGCCTCGGGACCTCAGATGCGCTACAGGCTCTACACCACGCCGTCGGCCGAGGCGGTGCAGCACGTATTCTAGCCGTGGATATTGCCGGAGCATTCGACCGTGTGTCCCATGCTGGCCTCCTCCACAAAGTCCGCCATCTTGGCATTGGCGGCCCCCTGCATACCTGGCTCTCTTCCTACCTAGGTGGACGGTCCATTCAATGCTTGGTGGGCGGCCAAACCTCATCGCTGTATACCATATCAGCAGGAGTTCCCCAAGGGAGCATACTCGGCCCCACACTCTTCCTGATTTACGTGAACGACGCCTCAGAGACCCTGTCACCCGGAGCCCACCTGGAGGCGTACGCCGACGATACTACCTTGTACAGCCTGATATCCCTCAACACATCCCCAGCCGACGCAGCATTGAGCCTCCAGACTTCTGTTGATCGCTTGCATCAGTGGGGCCGCAGATGGCGCATCTCCTTCGAACCGTCGAAGTCCCAAGCCATGACCGCCACTCTCCGCAGAACCCCCATCAATTTGCCTCGCATTGTCTTCGGCGGCACTCCTGTCCTTGAGGAGAAGGCTCTCTCTTTACTTGGAGTGACCTTTGACTCGAAGCTGTCATTCAGCACTCATCTCCGGAAGGTTGCCACTCGAGCCAAACAACGCCTAGGCTTCCTGCGCCGTGCAGCGCACATTCTCTCTCCAGCCGGCCGCACCACGGTATACAAGGCATTTGTTCGACCAGTTATGGAGTATGCCCCCCTCATCTGGATATGTGCTCCGCCCAGCTACCTGCAACGCCTGGATCATATCCACCGCTGTGCTCTGCGAATCATCGGTCCAGGTGCACTATTACCTAGCCTGACCATCCGTCGTACTGTTGCCTCGCTTGCCTGCCTATACAAGCTGCATTACCGGCCTGGCCCTCCGCAGCTGCTCTCTGTTTTGCCACCGCGCCATTTCCCCTCATCCAGCCCCAGAACTCGCAGCGAGCATGGTAGCGTCATTGGCCATGACCACCAGCTCCAACACCAGCTGCTTGCATCTGTCTCGCTGGCATTAAAGCGCTCGTTCCCACACTGCAGTATTAGTGACTGGAACTCCCTGCCCGCCGCTCTTCTGTCCCAGCCTCCCCACAGCAAGGGAATGCAAGCATTCAAAACTAATGTTTATCGCCATCTGCGAAGCACAAACTGGCTCTGGGCAGTCGACTCGCTATGATGATGCTCTCGTCCTTCTCCTCTATCCCTATCTACGCACCACAACTGGCTCAGACAACCGACTCGCCATGATCAGCCATGATGATGCTCCTCTCAGTAACAGCCCTTGTAATTTGTTAATAGTCTCACAGTTTCTCCCGCACACTCGCTGATGTTAACCCTTTCTTTCTTTTCATTTTGCTGACTCGTACAGCTCTATCTTTTGTTTTTGGTGCGTGTTTTTGGCCGTGATGCCGAGACCTCAGGTCGGCAGAGCCATCAATGCCCCACCATCACTACTGCGTCTCGGTGCAGCCCCTGCTCAATAGTTGTCACGTTCGTCCTAGTCTCAGTATCATTGTCTTTCTTTATTATTTTCGAGCTGGGAGTGTGAACATAGTAAAAAAATAAATAATAAAAAAAAAATTATGTAAACGATCAAGTTCATCTTAGGGAATCCTCTCCTCTCACTGTTACCATCTCCCAATCTCTTGTAAACTCTTCTTTTACTCAGCTTACCTGCGCCCCATTTTTGATTATGCAGATAGTGCTTGGGCTGGAATTTCCACAACCCGTGCTGCCAATCTCGCAATTCACCACAAAAAGTTCTCAAAATCCTCCTCGGAAAACCCCGCATGCTTCCATCTTCCACCCGTTATGCCCTTTCTGACACTACCCCCCCCCTTTGTCTAAGAGACGTAATTCACATCTTGTCACCCTCATCCATTCTCTCAAACTCCATCTGTGTCCACCCCACCTCCACTGTTTCAACTGGTTCTCTTCCCGTAGCACGAGAAATTCCCTTTCCCTTCCGAAACCTAAGTCCTCCTTTCTACTTCACTCTCCCTTTTTCACTGCGTACTCTGCGTGGCTGGCACTTCCCCAAGAAGCTAAGGACCCTTCTTCCTTCCGCCTTTTTAAGGGCCTTGTCGCGCCTGGACTTTGATTTTGTGTTTCTCATTTTGTTGCAATCACTGCTTATCCATGCCGGTTCCTTTTTCTTCTCCTCCCCTTCTCCCTTCCTTGCCGTGGTTGGATAACAGCCTCTCTCTTTGTATTGGCCACTGTGCTATGAGATGCTGTAATAAATATATAAATAAAATTAAAATTAAAATTATTATCTCCTCGTAGATTATTTGTATGTTCCCATTATGGTTCTTCACATTACATTTCCATCACATTCGTTTTATTTCTTTGTCCATCACCACTTTCTAAAGTGTATGTTCATGACATCTCAATAAAACCTTCATTAGATGACGCTTCAGCTGGTTCTGTTTATTCCAATCCCAAAAGCCCTATGCATCAATCATATTCTTTTTTACGGGTACTTGGAAAACACATCTGGAAAAAGGGATAGAAATATGAACCAGTTTTATACAAGAAAAGTGAGAAATAATTGCGGGATAAAAATTGAGAGGAAAGGACGAGGTGAAGTGTGTGTATGCATATGAAGTAGAACAGAGAATATTGGAAAAGAAGAAACAATAGTACAAGTTTCTGAATGGAAAACAATCTACATTTTAAGCACCGCTAATGACACTGGAAAAGTGCTAACGCGATTAATGGCAAATTTTGTTTGGGGGTAACGTTAGCTGTGGATGAGTTGTGTGCCCCGCTGAGGACAACGTGAGTGAAAGGCATAGATTTGAAAATAACGCGTTTGAGCAACAAGGAAAAAAGCCACGGTTGAAAGTCAATCCCTGAATTCGTTGGGAGCACGCTCCCAGAGGAACATAACACAAAGATAGAATGAGAATAAAGGAGGCGGTGGAGAGTACGTTGTGGTTATAAACACCCTGCAATCGCCACGCAAAGTGGTCATTTGCTACCCCAGCCATGTTTTGCTTGGAATAAAACTATCAAAAACTAAAATACAAACTGAGGAATTGCAAAAAAACTGATTGAGAAAATCGTTGCGACGGGGTACAAATGCAAGAATGTATACTGAGATGAATTGTGCTGAGGCAAAACAACAGGCAAAGAACACAGAGAAGCACGCCAAACTACAGAAAATGTTGAAAATGCGCGAAATCAGTGAGTTACTATGGGCAAACAAATTCATACTGTGGTTGCGGGGCGGATTCTAAAACACCATAAGCATCACTTTTAGTGAGGGAACTCTCCGCAATGTCAGCGTCTTCATAGGCTGCATTTTGTGTCTGACCTGGATCTTCGGTCTTGACCGGTTTGCCTTGTATCTTACGGTGGACAATTATGGCCACCACCATCATTGCTATCATCCCAAAGAACATTCCGCCAACAACACCGCCGATCACAGTGCCAAGTGTGTATGACGTCTGAGTTTGATTTTCCGCTGTAGGTGAGAGAACACAGCACATTTTACGTTCCAACATCTACAGATACTGTACGTGCATTCTAACCTCAATTGTTAGATGCCTGGACACAGTTCTATGATCTATGGTTTTGCATTACAAAGTATAGCTTTCGAAGTGAAAACATGTCATGGGAACTGAATGGAAGATCTGAACATGCTGTGTTCATGTTTTGTGCTCGAATTGTAGAGAACACACCTAGCAAAAATTAATGGTGATGCATACATGCCTTCCGCCACCTTATTAATAGAGTACTTCAGTCTATATTTCCACGATGGCCGAAGGCCAATAAGGAAGAGAATTACGATCGGGTTCCCCAAGATGTTGACCGATATCTGAGAACCACACAAAAATGGCAGTGGATGCGCTTTGCCTAATGTTGAATGTTCCTGGCTGCCCCTTTAAAGAATAATGAAGGCCCTGTTTAAGTATCGGATAATGCACCTGTCTCAATGCCCTCAAAGGAAGGTACACCCTCCAGCCTTAATATGCGATACTGCCATCCGTGCCTATAACAAGGTCATTCGATGGCAACAAAATCTTCTTGATCTGCGCAAAGGGACTTTTGTTCGGGTGCTCTCTACCGAACTACGAAAATTCGATTGATCATGATTCCTTGTATAGGTTCTCCATTCTACCCTCATTATTATTCAAACGCGTCCGGCGTTCCACTGCAGCCGAGGATTGCGACAAACACTTGGAGTGCTCCCATCTTACCGAGCTCCTGGCCGAGAAAAATAAATAATTATGTGGACAAAAACAAACAGCTACTGAGCAGGGGCTGCACTGGACAGCAGTGATGGTGAGGTACCAGGGGCTCCACCAACCAAAGGTCTCGGCTTCAATGCCACAAGCACGCACCAGGAAAAAGAAACAGAAATGTAAAGCAAAGCTAGATCTAGCTATGGGGCCTAATAACAGTAAGCTGGTGCGTGACAACTGTGATGCAGCGCTCGCCCACACACTGCTACACCATACCCATCTCCCATAGCATAGTTACTTACACGTACTTCAAGTACATGTATCCGAGAATATATCAGAACATTCTAACTGCAGCAAAATGTGTAAACCTGCCAAATTATGCTTCAAAATTTCAACCACCAAATTACGTCATAAATTATGCCAGCATACTCCGCCTCACATCTAGTATCCACTGGGCTCTCGTCCTGTAGGCTGTCCGATCGTACAACGTCATTAGCTGTTCCCTCGCGTTTCATTTGATGTAGGTTGCATCGTAACGTTGCTCTACTCCTGCCGGTCACCTCCGTTGCTGTTCCTTCTTACCCGACTTGAGGCTGTTCACTTCTGGTGTTTCGTGACGCGTCAGGTGGTTGGAGCTGCGGAGGTCGAACCATCCTCTGCTACCAGTGTAACCGTTCAGCATGCACAATAATGATGTTGTTAAATTTGACATTGTTCTTGGAACAAAAAATGCTATTTTATATTTGTATTGCGCTAACAGGCCATAGTCTAACAGTAAGCGGGCGTGTAACAGCTGTGATGCACCACTCGCAGTCACACTGTTGCACAGCTATTTCGGGAAGGAGCAGTCCGATTCACCAGTTCTTGCCATGGATGACGTGGTACCCGTGGGCGGCACTGATTGAGTGGTAGGTGATATTCTGCGACAGACGCACGCTGCGCCTGGTGTGCCAAGTCCGGATGTGTGGCTTGCATGACTTCCTGAAGTAAACAGCCCTGGCGGGCCGTGGATCGGCTGGCCGCCTGGTTTGTACTCTGCCGCATGTCGCAGAATGTTTAATTGCTATAAAGGTGCTTCAACCCACTTGCATCTATGTGTCGCTACCTCTAGTGAGATGCAGTTGCGGTGGTCGTTGTGGAGACACGTCCACACACTTCACGTAAAAACTAGGACGGGGAGCCCCAAGTTACAGTGAGGGCTACAACCCACCGGCATGTATGGATAAACAGGAAGCGTGAGTTATGAAGTCAGAAGAAAGTGTTCAACAGTCTCTGCTGGGATGACTGCTACACCTTAGCTCAGTGGTTAGAGAATCGCTGGCCTCAAGAGAAGATCCGTGGTTCGAGTCCTCGTGGCGAGTCTGGTTACAGTCAATGTTTTCTTCAGACTTTTCCCGTTTGTGTCTTTCCCTCAAAGCATTGAATACCTGTTTTCAGTACTTTTGTTCATTTCAATACTACGGGTTTTGTCTCCTCGACGATATTTTAAAATAATTGAGTATGTACTGCTTATACAACTTGCTATCCTCAATTCATTTGAGATTGTACGTACCGCTAGTTGTCGTGCAGGATTCACGTGTTGATCCTGTTGTTAATCCAGGTGTTGAATTGACTGAAAATTCAAAAACGACCATGTAGAGTAACACACGGCAATGGCATAATATTATACATGTACATGAGATCTAAGAGAGAAATAATCACGGTTCGCAACAGACCCGGAGACACTAACAGGTCCACCAGGGGTTTTAAAGCTGTTCCTTAGTCATTCAGTACACATGTCCATGACTTTGACCTCCGAACCATCGACAAAGTGACTGGCCGTTCAAAGTCGCATAAAAAACCTCAGACATCACTTCACCACCTCAGCAACACGTTAGGCGAATTCATGCCAGACGTTCAGCGTCCTTATGTACGCTTACCTCCTCACGGGCTAAACGCCGATTCAGGACTTCTCGGCTTCAAACCATTTACCCCAGCCCAAGTCACGAAGCTGCTCCCCAGGTTGTCGCAAACAAACCTACGAGGAGTGATGGTGTACCGGAATTGTTCCTTGTAATGACCAGTTCCACCCTGGCCCTTTCCTTAAGTTACTTAGTAACTTATTTAACGAGTCCTTGCGATCAGTGAAAGTGACAGGTGCATTCAAGCACACTTATTTTTCTCCCCTTTTCAAAGTGGGGACCATCGACCGTCGCCAGTACCTATAGTCCGATACCTCTCCTTCCGATCTTGTCCCGCCTGTTAAGCCTATAGGGCATTCAGAAAAATATGCACTTGTAGCTGTTGGCGCGATGCAAGGATCGACGGGAAGCAACAGGACGATCTGACGGCGTCCAATAGGAACACCATGAACGGGAACGGAATCTTACTACTGTGGGAATCGGGATGCCGGTATAGCGTTAGACGCTCTGAATACGTTGCTTCAGAATCCCACTGTTGTCGACTATGCCACACCCCAGCCGCCTTCCTTTCATCCATCGCTGGCTGAATATTCAATTTTCGAGGTTCGTGAAGTATTTGTCTGGTGTACTTAGCAGTTTTCAGATATGACGTTGGACGTTCATGATGATGTGTTGGCTTTCACTTGACTTCTACTTTTCACCTTATTTGTCACCACCCAGTACACTTTGTGACGTGTTAACTTACGCAACCTTCTCCTGTGTACCTCTCCTGCTCATTGTGATCGACTTGTGATAGTTGTGTCAGGTAGGTTTCATTCTGCATCTCCATTCTGCACCATGCCCTTTGTTTTGATTTATCACATAATGTGAGTTAGTTGAGTGTTCACACCTTGCGCCAGTATCTTTCCAGTATAGTGAGGACAACGGAAGACGAAGACAATGACTTTATGACTGTGGAGCTACTTCCCGCTTCTCGATTTGTGTAGATTTGTCACATATGTGAGTTAGTTGAGTGTCGACAGGAAGAGGGATGGATCACTAAGCCAACCGAGTGTGCGTTCCTCACCGGAACCACCACCCGTACAGCTGACATGGGATTAGGGTGGAGTCGGTAACAACGACAGTGCTGCCAATCACATAAACTGAACCCACTTCTTTAAAACAGGGTTGTACGGGCACCGCAGCTCACCGCAGCGCTTGAGCCGTTGGAACAGAGCCAGCGGAGGTCGACTGCGAACTGCTCAGCGGAGATATATTCAAAAAATGGTCAAAGCCAACACAAAGCAGCGAAGAAAAACATTAACCAGAAGCAAAACGAACCACAATTTGGAGACACTGATGACCTACGTACAATAAGAACACGGGGAAGACGTAGCAGGGAGAACACGGATGGTATGAGAGTGACTGGCGGTGAAGATGAGTTGGATGATGATGCGGCGGATGACGACGAGGTAGATGATGAAGAGGCGGCGGATGACGAGGCGGTGGATGACGATTAGACGGCTGGTGGTGATGGCGAAGAAACGAACGTTATAAGGAGTCAGGTGGCAGGGAAGGTGATGACGTTGATGAGGGTTGTTACTACGTCTGGATTGTTAGGCTGTGTATGACGATACCCACTTCTCTGTACTATGTCGTGCTCATCATGTACAGCAGTTGGAGGCACTTGAAGCTGTTCATATTCATAAGCATAAGCCTGATCTTTGTAATCACATTTCATGCCCATTTGTTGCACTTACGTTCTATTTTAGACCTCAATTTGATCATACTTACGCCTTTTCTGGTCAGACTTACTTGGATTTTAAACCTTAGTTGTTGCCTGGTTCGGCCTCATTTTCTCTGTACTGCACGGATGAGTCCTCAAGCACGAAACAGTTCTGTCCACAGATTGAGTATAATTATTTCGTAATCAATAATTTCTCAACCTCTATCAGGTTCGGCATCCGTTTCCCTGTGTTGGGTTGACGAGTCCAGAAAGGATGAGACTGTGCTTTTCGCGGATTGAGTAATTCAAACAGCTAGAAAACTAGCGCTATCGTCCTTGTCTAATTAATTCTGTTATTTTCTGTTTTTGCACGACATTGACCAACGGTACTGACGTTCTAGGCCTAACTGGCAATCACCTCTAACACATCTCTAATACGGACTCCAACATCCTTCAAACTTGGAAGGTACTATTAAAGCTACAGATGTAACATAAGGAGAGAAAGGTGAGCCCAACCAAGATAATCACGACCTAAAAGTCTCAGCTGTGAAGTACATTGGCGGATGTACATGTACGACGATGACGATACTGGCAAGACCTTTAGACAGGACGGTAAAACCATGATTCAAGGAGGCAAAGTAACATTCCACAAAACTTGTATGGCGCGAAGATGCGAAGATGAATTAAAGGGGAAGCTATGCGAACGGGAATCATGCAAAACCAAACGCCTCAATGAAACCTTGGTCCTTGGTTCCTTGGTCCTTTTTCTTTTCTATAAATGTATCCTTGACTCTCGATCTGAGTCCATTCGTGCACACCTTATGAGCCGTTCTCATCTATACGGCGAAACGTCGTCGTGTAAAACTGCTGCATGTTGTTGCTGCTCATTGTCCATCTAAATTGTCATAGTCGACGTACAGTGCTGTTTTAATGAGGCGTTCGGTTTTCCTTTGTCCTTTTTTTCTTTCTATAAATTTATCCTTGGCCCTCCATCCGATTCCATAGTGTGTTTTCAAAATAATTCAGTGCATTCAGGGAGGGTGCAGCGCAAGACAAAAAAAAAACAGAATAGAACGTACCGGTAGTAGTGGCTGGATCCATAGGAATAACTGGAATATATAACGGAGAAAAATGTACACACGCACATATACCAGCACACAGATACCAGCACACAAGGCACATGCGTTACAGAAAGACGTAAGAATACTATGTCTTTCTGTTTCATCTAATTATTACAGGGTGCGACATAGCTCTCGGCCAATAAATAAAATGTTGAAATCACCTCCACCACTACACTGGGCTCTCAGCCGACTAGACTCTCCTGCACACAACGATCACCACTGCGAGGACACTTATATTGACGGTATTGATATCGTTTATTCCTTCAGACAGCTGTTTCGCTAATACATAGCTCATCAGTGAGGGTACTTTGAAGTGGGTGTTGGGTGATTATAATATAATATGACCAAACTGCTATGATAGGTTTTTTCACATACTAAGCTGAGCATTACAGTGTTATGCCCCAGAGGCTGCTGGGGCTATCGACGTCGCGGGTCGTGGGGTGAGTTTTCAGGCTTTCATGGCGCTTTCACAAGTGCAATACACAGATTCTCAATAGCTACACAGTACACTGATTTTGGCACATTATTTCTGCATTGAAAGTGATTTTCCTAAGCGTGTGCAGACTCAAATAATGAAATCCTAATTTTCGGGCCAGGCCTTCAAGAATATTGTTAGTATTAGTGATAGATTTTCCGCGCAGAATTTCTGACGCTGCATGCATGTCCCTTGCGCGTCAACAGTACTTCACACTTTCCTTTTCCCCCACTATCATGTCAGCTATGCATAACCTTGGCAAATAGGTAGTGTAGTCCATGTTCCATCAGCTTGGCAAGTCACTGAAGACGGCATTGAGATAGTATCGAAGCCAAGCGTACAAGACACGGTAATGCCACTGCCTGTAGTACTCCTGGGTATATTCATCACTGTTGTCGAGTTTAATTCTGGACAATGTGTTGCTGTGCACAGAACCAAAATACCAAAGGATACAGATCAATGCATACCGACAGACCAAATAACAAGCGAATTCCAATATCAACAGAGTTATCTTTTGGCAGAGGCCATGGTCAATAAACGGATATTGCTCTGAATTCTGATGATCTTGTTACAACGCAGAGGTATGTAGCTCTCGCGTTATGTTTTTGTGGATGTAAGACAGCTGAAACGGACGGTGTTAATTCGAATGGATTCCCGGCTATTTAGGCTCTACATGATTGGTATCAGTTCCCAGTGGTACAGCTGTGTTCAGTGACGAATTGGAGCAACGATCTACTTCTTAGAATGCCATGAAGCAATTGACTCGCGCCACTGCACAATACCTTGGATATGGACATTAGTGGTCACCAGCGTTCTGCATCCATCATAGCACATGCTATAGCATATCCTTTGAAACGCAAGAATCGAGTTTGTGTTATAAGAGGGCAAGGCACTTACAGTGCCATGAAAAAAGGTGAGAAATATCACCTGTAACTAAGTGACACTAACAGTTAGTAATGAAGAGTACCAATTTTGTGGCCAAAGCCGAAATCAAATGACCGCTAACTGTTACAAGATAAATGTAACATATCAGCAAAAGGGACAAGTGAGAAAACATGTTCCCAGGGCTGGCCAATCAAACCACAAAATACTACTGGAACAATTTTATATGAAGGAACTTACGTTGACATTTGCCCATGGTCCATTGGAGGTTTTGTCCACAAATACAGTTGACCGCTGCCATTCCCACTACATGATTACAATCCACCACATTAGTGTCATTGCATTCCACGATGCACCCTGCAGGGGAGAAATGATATTATATTACCTTCAACCTTGTGAATATGGACATCGGCTTCAGGTGACATCCTGCATGGAAGTTTCCAGCCCCGCCATAACTTGAGCCCGAGACCTTGTTTGTCTCGGGCAATACTCTAACCATCTGACCTATGGGACAAAGCCGAACCTAGAAGGCGCGGACAGGCTTTCACTCATAGGGCAAAATGTGATTGTTTGTTTGCTTGGAACTGACACTAGATATTCCTTAAATATTTAGGTTTTCCTTGCATTGATCCAAGAGGGTGGTGGCGTTTCTGCGGATGCGGAAAACTGGGCCTTTGGCCGAGTCTCACGCGAACCGTGAATTTTTTTTTTTGCATAACTGGTATACGTCGAAGTAAGGACTTACTTTCACATAAAGGTTGACTTGGTTGCCACCTTCCATTGCCCTGGCATGTAGACTGGGTTATTTCCATACTTTTGTTAGACAAAAAACCTGTTATGCATTCGATGGACACTGTGGTACCTGGTAGTGTGTTGAAACTGGCAACTGGTTTGTAATTGAACTTGGAGTCATTAATAGTAGGACATTTCGCTGGGAACAAAGAGGCAACATTCAGTGTAGTTACTCACAATAAGTGAACATCCCACAAATAAAACCATTCCTATGATGGTCCATAGAGATAGAAGCAGACAATATTTTGGTAATCACACGGAACATGGTTGTACTCAGACCTGCTGCACTTGTCCATGTTCCGTTGAAAACTCCTTTTACAAACAATAAGTGAACACCGCAACTAAAACAAATGCATGACGGTCCACAGAGATAGACGCAGACAATAGTTTGGTAAGTCCATGTCCACAACTGCTACGTTACACCCAGACCTTCGGCACTTGTCCGTGTTCTGTTGAAAACTAATTATTCACAGATTTCAATAGAACAAGTATAGGTGACAATTTGATGAAACCTGGAAAGCGAATAACAACCCGGGTTAACATGACAGGAAAACAACAACTTTTGGAATGGGAGAGCATGCACGGTTTTGTAAGAAGTGTGCTCGGTGTGCGTGGCTAATTTTCATGGAGAGATGACCATTAGTACATTCATCCTAATGATAGGCTAATGCATAGCTGGACAGAAATTGTGGCTAGTTCAGTTATCCGATATGTTGAAGAAGTAGAAGGTGATCGAAGGT